CCAGTTTAATCTGACGAATGGTCCATCGGGTCACACCGGGAGCGAGAAAAGCCACTGCCTGGCAGTTTCTGAGCTGAAGTCTTTCATCCTCCTGTCCATAAAGGATGGCTGAGGAGGAGATACCAGTAGGAACGGGGGTCCGCTGTTTACATTTCTTTCTTCCCTTTTTTTTTGAGACAGAGTTTCTTTGTGTAGCTCTGGCTGTCCTGGAACTCCATCTGTAGTACACCAGGCTGACCTCGAACTCACAGAGATCTGTTTCCCTCCTGAGTGCTGGATTAAAGGCGTGCACCACCACTACCTGGCTACACTGCACTGCTTCCATTTCCCCCAGAGCTCAAAACTGAGTACAGATGCCTACTCACCCTATGGCGGTGGTTCTCAACCTGTGGGTCACGACCCCTTTACCCACCAGATATTTACATTGCAATTCATAACAGTAGCAAAATTATAGTTGTGAAGTAGCAATGAAATAACTTTACCGTTGGGGGGGGTGGGGGGGTGGTCACCACAAGATGAGGAACTATGTTAAAGGGTCACAGCGTCAGGGAGGTTGAGAACCGCCACCGGCCTACAGGAAAGTTGTCCGGCGTATTGGATAAGAAGGAGTCTTGAAATAGGAGACAGACACCTGGGTTTCAGTCTGTACTCTGACGCTTGTGTTACCAGCAGAAGCTGAGCAAACTGCAAATCCTTCGGAGTCTTCATCTGCTCAAGTGAAGAGCCTACAAACAAGGGGGGGGGGCTCGTCCCACCGCCGGCAGCGCGGAGCAGTGGACAACAGTATAAATCTGAAGCGGTGCGTCTCGGAGCACATCCTACCCCCTTTCCCAGACTAGCCCCGCAACCATGAGCAGGTTAGCTTTCCCGCCTCCGTTTCTTCACCTAGAAAATCTACCGAGTGCCCTGGCCTACTTTAAGATCTGAGGAATTAGAGAAAGCTTTCGCCACAGGCTTGGCCCTTAGCTCTTCCAATACCTGTCAGCCAGCCATGACTATCATGACTATTAGGGGAAGTAAAAACAAAAACAAACACAAACAAAAAAAAAACAAAAAAACCCTTCCACAACCAAGAACTTCCTGCAGGAATTTAACAGCATGGGAGCATGGGAACCTTTTCTTAACCGTATCAGAGAAATGAGTTCATAGCCCAAGACTACCTTGGGAGCCAAGAAACACAAGGCACAGTGAGGAATCCTTCGCATCCTGGAGCAGGGCACCCTCCCACTGCTCAGCAGTCCACCCGCGGCTACCGACACCCTACTTGGTAGTCATTTAAGGTTTTACTGGGACAAGAGACAGGCTGCAAATCCTTCCACCCTTCCCATAAATGAATGCTGCAACCTTGTCTCCTCTACAGATGACCCAGAAAGGTTAGCGGGTGCCACGTTTCGGAGTGACTCCCTGGGGCCAGGGGCCGGAGCTCTCAGTTGGTGGAGTAGCTTACTCAGCATGCGGAAAGCCCCGAGTTCCATCCTCAGGGCTATAAAATCGGGTGTGATGCTATACACCTGTAATGCCAGCCTTTGGGAGGAAGAGACAGGAAAGATCGGAAGTAAAAGCCCGAATTATCTAGCTGGACTAAATGACCCCTGAGGCTGGGGCTCCAGGACAGAGGACTTCCTTAGGATGCACAAGACCCTGGCTTCCATCTCTAGCTACACAGCAAGTTCTAGGCCCGTTGTGAGACCCCTTTTCAACAACTCCACACAAAAACCAACCAACCAACCAAGCTAAACAACAACAAACCAATTCTTGATTTTAAGCTCTTTGCTAGTGCGTGAAAACTGTATAAAATGCAACCTATTCTATTTGGGGGTGGGGATGGGATTTATACAGGCTGTGGTGGTGTCAGTGGGTCTTAAACTTCCCAAGTTCCTCTAACAAAGATAGAGAGGGTTTCCTCTTCCCTCGGTCCCATTTTCAAGTCAAGAGAAAGGACAGGTAGGAAACAGGAAGGCGTACGTAAATCCCGCCCACAGCCAAGCGTGGAAGTCAGCAGGCACACTGGGAATTGCCCTGGAAACAAATCAAATCCTGCCTGACTGAAGCCATTCTCAGCCTGGGCTCCTCAATTATTTAGTGTCACCAGTGAAGTCCCACGCAATTAAAAGCAGCTCATCAGCGCTGTGGAGCGCCGCGCTAACGCACCCATGGAGAGTGGGAAGGGAGAGAAGGCGCGTCTCTGAAACCTGGCTAACCAAGGGTCCGCCCACCCACTGCTATGGAAAGTCATATAAAGTCGGATATAATCGAGTTCCTGAACTTACTTTTAAAAAAAATTACAAAATGAGGACACTTTAGCTTTGCTAAAGGGAAAGATATGTGAGCCGTTCAAAAAAAAAAAAATAAGTGTCGTTTCAAGAGACTGAAAAAAGGAACATTAAAAAAAAGAAAAAACCTAACCTCATCACACAGTTTGAGTGAATAGCTGCAGCTGTTGAAAGCATCTTGTCCATTAAAGTGATGACGCCTAGCCTCCCAAGTGCATTCTAAAGCCAGTAAGAAACATTACACTACCTCTCCACCCCGAGTGAACTAACACACCAAGTATCTGCCATAAAGAACACTCAGGAGAGGCAAGGCATTGATTCTTAGGGTTTCCACCTGATTCTCACATCTGGTTTGGAAAGCAGCAGCACACAGCCTTGTCTCCATCTCAAGGTATCTCAAAAGCACCCTTCCCGCTGACCTGCCCCTCAGGGTCAGAGGATTCCACTCCCCTCCTCCATCCTGTGATGCGCGCTGTTTGCCTTCTCTGTGACAAGCATTGGTTCAGGCACCCGTCTCTAAAGCAGCTTATGCACCAGCTGAAAAGACGTTTAAAAGGACCACCGAAGCTTCTCTGCATTACTCCTTGTATTTATACCTACCACATTTTGTCTCCTGCTCATTTCCATTTTTACTAGCTTGGGAGATGCACACTGTATCTCTATCAGGTATATCTATATACACCCATCTATGCCCGTTTTCCTCAGGGGTACCCGAGTCTGCTTTCTGAAGTTAGTCTTCCTCAATATAACCTTCTGAAAACATTTCTATTTAATTGTCCCCAGGAATACACAAGAGCAGTTTATACCGTCCACAGTAAATGTAAATGGCTGTCTGGCTTCCCACGTCTCCTTCAATACAAGCTCAGGCTGTTGCCAACATCTCTCCCCTGTTTAGATATTTCCCACCTTATGTTTCTAGATGGATTCTTCTTTTCTGTGCTTACGATTGCATGCACTCATCATTCTTCTTGCCAAATTTCCAAATTCTACAATACTTATTTCTAAATCCCTCCATGTGTTTCCAAACCGTAGTCACCCTTACCTTATACTTGATTTTTAATGAGAAGTGCTCCTTTTCTTGATTGGACTCAAGTGGATCAGAAGTCCTAAGAATAACGACTCTGGGGCTTAAGAACTCATAGCTGCAAATATCATGAGCCCTTCTGACTCTCTACCCCTGTTTTAGAGCTGGGGCCAATCTTTTGGGCTGTCTGGGCCACAGATCTCTTGCTACTCCATAACACACAGTAAGTACCCCGCGGCACTGGGAAGGCAGCCACCGCACCGACACAAGCAGCCGTATGGGTTTTAAACACTATTTTACAGAAACAGGTGATGAGCAGACGGCAATGGCTCCCCAGCCCTGGTTTTACTGATTTCTTCTAAGAGGAAGAAGAGTAGACTGGGGTTGGGACCTGCTTCTCCCCCTACTGAAAGATGAAAACAAACAAACAAACAAACAAAAAACTCAAAGGACAACCAGAGGTCCCTCAGACCAGTTTCTATGTCCCTTGTTCCTTCATGACCCCAGCTTCAACGTCATCACCATGGCAATCTGGACCGTGGTCATCTGTTACAACTGCTGACCAGGAAGAAGAGAGAATGTATTTGCTGCCTCCTCTGGCAACATGGTGAGGCAAGGGAAAATGGTCTCAATCTTCTCCTGTCCTTCAGGTTGGCAAGAGGCCCTCTCATTAGGACCTCAGGGCAGAGGAGCTATCATTACACACACTCCCTTCAACATGAGAGGTGGTGTTTTCTCACACCAACCTCGTTTCGAGGAGCTCCATCATCCTGCCTATTATTTTCAGACAGAGTGAATGGGGTCTTAGTCAACTGGTCAGCCATAGATCAAGGTCTTGGTGCTTGTATGGGTGTGTTTGGGGAATAAGGCAACCATGTCAGGAGTTCTTACTTCACCCTGAATGTGATAAAACATATCCAAGCTGTCTGTAAGTTTTGAAAGTGTGGATTCCATCATTCGAGGATGGAAAATATATATAGCAAGCATCTAGTGAAAATGCCCAGATATTTTTTTCTTGTCACGATTTCCTGAAGGATAGAACAACCATGTATGTCGTACTTACATTGGGCTGAATATTTTAAGTTGTCTACTAGGATTTGGACTGTAAAGGGAAGCAGAGACTACACACAAACACTGTGCCATTTCCTATCAGGCACTTGAACATCCTCGGATTCGGGTACCGGTAGAGTATCGTGGAGCAAATTAACCCCTGTGGATACAGAGGATCCCCTCTAAAGAAAACAGCTCATCTCTCCAGGCTCCACAGGGATTCCTCACCGGTGACACCCTTCCCCACTTCATCCATGAAAAGATGGGCTCCTGGGCTAGCTTATCCAACATTGCTCATTTAGAAGCTCAGAACTGGGATTCAAACCCCAGCCAGTGTGGCTCACTAAGTCACATCCCTTCTATCTCTTTGATTGCCCTGCTCTTAAAAAAAATATCAAGTATAATATATTTGAAAAGCCTCGAAATGACTGTGTCGTGTGAATCAAGGACTTAAGTCAGGTTCGTGGCTTCTGGTGTCACCCAGGAGGGCCTCAGAACACCAGAGAAGAAAAGGAACACAGGTGATCTGACCACTGGTGGCTGTGGGCTCTTGTCCTTCGCCTTGGGCCCAGGTCCCCGGCTGCATTCGCATTGGTGGCTTTTGGGGGTGACATGTGATAGTGCTTAGGCGGCGGCGGGAGGTGAGCTCTTACCAGCCTGTCATGTTAAAGTCTCTGTAGAGCATCTTCTTCCCCAGTTCTTTCCTCTGCACTCTTCTTGGAAACTCCAAATGTGTGAACTCATTTCCCAGCAAGTGAGGCTGCATGAACGCCTAATAGCAAAAAGAAAAAGAAAAAAAAAACAAAAAAAAAAAAAGAAAGAAAAAGAAAAAGAAAAAGCCACACACAGATTTTAGAGGACAAAATAAAACTTGAGTATGTTTTGCAAATTGAGACAAAGCCTTAGTACAAAAACAGGAAAACTGTCTCCTTATTTTGAGGGCAGTAAATACATTTCAGAATTTAAACACTCACAGAAGGTAAGTAAACAAAAGCCCTACCTGTGACTTCCAAGGGCTGTCACTGTTGCATGTGATAAGTTAATTGTAATCAAAAGGCACGGATTTGATAAGTTAATTGTAATCAAAAGGCATGCAGAGCTAATAATGGCTTAGAGGTGAGCACGCATGGGCGGGCTTCTTCGAAGTTGACTTTGTAGTTCAAATTCAAGATGGTTTCACTTTCTGGAAAGCATGTGGGCTAGATGGAAGGCCAGCGAGGTTCCCCTGGTCCCTCCCTTGTCCTTCTCTTCTCTCACTCAACATAGTTCCCATGGACTTGCCTTTGAGAGCTGCATGTGGGCCTCCAGAACACACAGGAGCCAGCTCCCTCACAGGGGGACCAGATACATCCCAGAAGTCTCCTGCTGGACTCACCCCACCCCCCACCTCCAGCTTGCTCTGTAGTCATTTGCTAGACTACTCCAGAACAGATGGCTTCTCTCATTCCCTGCAAATCTCTGTTCACATTACAAAAGCCTCCGAACAAACAGTCGCATCCGGGGGTTGCTTTGAAACACTCTCATTGTTACGCTCAAAATCCAAATCTAGCTATTTAAGACATGAACTGGTCACGTTTCGACTTCCCTGCCAAAGCCACAAACCTGCATATCTGTGTTAGAACCTTCCCACATCATGCCCAACTCCTGCATGAGGGCACTGTGGTGGAATGGACTGCCTCACCTTACGGCACGGAAGAGTGGGCAGCGTACATCATGGCCAGCAAGGGATGGATCCCCGTCTTAGGACAGATGGCCCCATCCTCAGTTACCTGGTACAAGCTGAGTATCCCTTATCTGAAGTGCTTAGGGCTGGAAGTGTTTGGGGAGCAGGGGGGCACAACTGGAATATTTCCAGGTACACATCTTAGGGATGGGACCCAAGCTGACATAAAATTCATTTATGTTTCAGAAACACCGTATAGACAGTCTGAAGGTGATTTCGTACAGTGTTTTCAGTGTATGTTTTGACTGCAACCTCTCATACAAGGTCAAGTGTGGAATTTTCCATTTAAAGCATTATGTCAACACTTACAAAATTTTCAGGTTCGGGAGCATTTTCAAATTTTAGATTTGGGGATGAGGGACGCCCAACCTACAACAGGTATTACCCATAGCCTCCTTCCTGATAACTCTGACAGGTAATAAGGAAGCTTCCATACCAGGTTTCACAGAGATGAGCTCCCCGGAGAAGGAAGAAAACTAAAACTGGTATGTGATAGAGCCAGCTGGCATTCATTAATTTTGTGATTTTAATGAGTTATTTAATTTCTTGAGCCTTGGTTTCACTGTCTTTACAGTGACATTATGACTGACATTTTCATAATTAGAGATCTTAAAGGTTCTTGTTGCGGTGGTCTCTGCTCAGGAAAAACAGCGCCGAGGGCTGGAGGGATGGCGGACTGGGGAAAGCCCTTGCGGCCCGAGAACGAAGACCCAAGTTCGAGTTCCTAAACCCACACAAAGCCGGCACAGTATTATGTGTCTGCCGCACTGGTTCTCCCATGGCGGAGATGGGAGGCCAAGAGACAGAAGAATCCCTGGAAGCTTGGAGCCCAGCCAGATACATGGGTGCACAACAGACCCCGTCTCAGACAAGGCAGAAGGTGAGAAATGACACCTGACATTGTCCTCTGACCTCCACGGTCACTACGGTGTACCCTGACCCCCCATATTCATTCATACACACACACACACACACACACACACACACACACAAAGACTTATATCCATTTAATGATTATTATGTGCAGCGCTTTCTGAGTTCTCTCACTACATCCTTCCAAAAGTCTTAGGCAGGAGGACTCCCTACCGCTATTTAATTTGTGGGCCCCAGAACAGAATTTCAAGACAGGGACAGCAGTGCATAAAACTAAATACAAGGCCCTGTGTGACTACACCAGTGACCTGCCCAGGTAGCAGCCACACCCCAAGTGTAGTTAGGGTTTTCTCATTAGGACTGACCCACCGTTAAAGACCAAGGAATGGAACTGGGAGTAGAGGTGCACACCTTTAAATCCCACCACTTGGGAGCAGAAACAGGTGGATCTCTTTGAGTTTGAGGTCAGCCTGGTCTACAGAGTGAGTCCTAGGACAGGGAGGGATACAAAGAGAAACTCTGTCTTGAAAAGAAAAAAAAAAAAAAACAAAACCCAGCACTCGGGAGTCAGAGCCAGGCGGATCTCTGCGAGTTCGAGGCCAGCCTGGGCTACCAAGTGAGTCCCAGGAAAGGCGCAAAGCTACACAGAGAAATCCTGTCTCGAAAAACAAAAAAAAAAAAAAACCCAAAAACCCAAACAAACCAAAACAAAACTCCCCCCTCCCCAAAATAAAAACAAACAAACAAAACTCAAATAAACCAATGAAAAGAAAGGACTAAAGAACAGAAATGCAGTAGCAATAAACAGGAGCATCACTCATGTACCCTCATCCTCTTCCCAGACTCCGAGGCTCTATCAGCATGGAGGTTTGGTCCAGGTCCTATGCCTAGGTTGGACGGACTGATTTAGAGGTTACCATGCACCTTATCCAAGTACTTCACACCCTATATCTCACTCACCAGTACCACAAAAGCCCGCGACAGGAACTCATCTTAAGACAAGGGAAGGGGCCGGAGAGACGGCTCAGCAGCTCACAGCACTCGCTGCTCCTGCACAGGGACCTGGGTTTCCAGCACTCACACGGGGCCTCGTAATCACCCTCAACTCCAGTTCCAGGGAGGCCGATGACCTTGTCTGACCTTCGCATGTAACAGGCATGCATAGAGACAGACCATTCATCCACAGGAAATAAAAGAAATGAATCTTTAAAAACAGTCCACTTCCAAATATTTAAAAATAAATCAAAACAAACAAACAAGCAAAGAAACCAAACAAAACCCAAGGAAATGGGCCTAAAAAGGTTAAGGCACCAAATCCAAGTTCATCAGCTAGGATTGGGTGGCTCTGGGCCTGAGCTAAATACCCCACTGAAACTTCCAGCCATCCTGTGTGGCCTGGCAACTCCCCCACACGTTCACACAAACAGTAAGAGGGTCCCTGGAAGGCCTGTTATCTTCTGCTCTTAGATCATACAGTCCAAAACGGTGGTTAAAAAGACACACAACACGGGTCAGGCAGTGGTGGTGCACGTCTTTAATCCCAGCACTCGGGAGGCAGAGCCAGGCGGATCTCTATGAGTTCTAGGCCAGCCTGGGCTACAGAGTGAGTTCCAGGAAAGGCGCAAAGCTACACAGAGAAGCCCTGTCTTGAAAAACCAACAAAACAAAACAAAAAACCCCTAAAACAAAAAAAAAACACAACATGGATCCGAACATAGTTTGGTTACAAGGGTGTATCTCACCATTGAACTGTAAAAACAAAAAAACAAAAACAAAAAACAAAACCCAAAACGACAAAAAAAAAAAAAAATTATTTAATAAGCAGCAAACAACATGCCTGATTTTACTGTTAAAAGCAGGTTATTAAGAAACAGGCATACCCCTTCCCGGCTTCAGCGCCCGGGAAAGCGGGCCCTGCACCTCAACTGGGCAGCACAGCAGAGCTGATCCTGTTGACTGGGGTGCAGGTGAACCGCCCCCAGAATGTGAGCATGGGAGCTCCTGCCCCGCCCCTCATCTGCCATATGATGTGGGGGTTGGGAGAGGGGAGATGCCTCTTCCTGAGGGGGGGGGCATGCTGCCTATGGCAGGTGGGAGAGCTGGCCCTGAGGTCATAAGAGCAGGAGAGCTGGCCCTGCACCTTGCACAGTAGAGCTGGCCCTCATGATCCAGGCATGGGAGAGCCAACCCTGAGGGTGTGGAAGTAGGAGAATTAGCCCCACCCCTTGCTCATAGGCATGAAGTAGCCAGGGCTATGCTGGAGAGCTCACCCTGGTGGCGAGGATGGAGGAGAGCTGGTGGGCTGTCCAACCCTGCAACTACCCAGGCCCAGAACCAGGGGTATGAGTTGGACCACCCCAACATCCACGCCATCTGTGATCTGCTGGAGCACGTGAAGGGGCTGGTCCTGTGGACCTAAAGCTGCAGGATTTCCACAACACAGGGCAACAACAGGATATTCAAGAGGAGTCCCAGTGAGGGCCCAGCATCAATAGTGCAGCAGAAACCAGAGGCCTCCGACCAGACCAATGACTGTTTGCAATGAACACTTGCACGTAAAGATATGTGGACAAGAGGGTTTACTGTGTGACTCACTGTGTCACCACAGCTTCCACGACAAGATTTTTCCCCCCTCTTAAATTGTATTTAATTTTGGAGGGGAGGTTGCAAGGACAGAGGGTAGATATGAAGGGATGGGAAATGAATGGGATAGAGATGCATGACGTGAAAGACACAAGGAATAAATAAGAAGAAAGTTTAATAAAAATAAAAATAAACAGTTATATGCATGAGTGTAGAAGCTTGTGTGTGTGTGTTATAACATATGCACAGACTGCTATGTATGGCAGATGTATGTTTATGTAAATGAGTGTGTGCTGTGGTCTGGATGTGTCTCCTCAAATTCGTATGTTGACAACACTTCTCAGTACATGCTTCCGGAGGTAGTTAGGTCATTAATGTTCTGCAGCCATGGCCAGTTGGGTGTGAATTTGTGTTCTCTCTCTCCTGCTTTCTACCATGTGAGGATGCAGAGAAAACCTCATCAGACGTTGGCACCTTGATCTTCGACTGTCTAGGATTGGGAGCAAAACATTTCTGTTCTTCACAAATTACCCAGTCAGGGGTCCTCTGTCACAATACTGTATATACAGACACTGGACGCAGAGGTGCATGAA